TGAGGCGTACGAGGCCCTCTCCGCCAACCGCCTGCCTGACGGGCGGATTGACTGGGATGCTCCATGCCCCCTCCATTCCCTGCAATGTATGGCCTGGGAGAGCTTTCAAGATGAGCACTTACCCCTCCTGGAGCATGAGTGCGCATATTACGCAAGTTTTGAGCGATGGACTAGCGAAAGTCGCACCAGTTCGCCGGTGAGGCCTTAGGAGGAGGTTGTGTTAGGGGAAGAACTGGGTTCTCCCCTACCTCGCCCCGCTTGCCATTCACTTCCCGAGAAGACCCCTAGGCGACCTGAAGTAGCTCAGGCGGCTTCAGGATCTCCGTCCTCGCCTAGGTGATGCTGGTTGGGGTTCACAGAGAAGTGAGCCGTCCCCCGTCCTTCCTTGGTAGGAGAAGGGCGGTGGGTTTTTGCCGAGGCTGGAGGCGACCACTCCCGTTCCATGTTGGGGAAGAAAGGTGGTCGTCCTAGACGGCCGGTGATCGGAGTTTTGCTTGCCTATACAGCCGTAGAACTACCTTTCAGACCTGCCTGTCCCCCCTAGACCTTCGCTCGCAAAGTCTTAGATTGTTGTTTTTCATTGTAGGAGATGTATGGGGAAGTATCCTTCCTTACGTAGAGATTGTTCTCAACTGTGCTGTAGTAGATGCAAGAGATTATCCTTGAAATGTAATGAACATTTCTGTGAATGTATTTTGATGTTACCTGTTTACTTACAAGTTTCACCTTCTTCTCTTTCGCATCCTACATTTGACGTTCCGGTTCCCTCGGACTTGAATCAGAGAATACCTCGCCTCTTTTGACTTAGCCACTTTCGGGTTACTTTGACCCTTGTGGCGTCTCCATACCCCCAAGATCCCCTGGTCGCTCATGCGATCAACAGATCTTGTGTTCCAGACTTAGCCGTTCTCTCAGACTTTCTTGCCACGGCGTCGTCTTCAACCTTGGTCGCCTAACAGGGTTCGACGCTTCACCCACTACTGGGTATCTTAGCATGAATCACCGTGCAATTTTAGCGATCGATCTCTTGTGGTCGCTCCTCTTTTTTTTTTTTTTTTTTTTTGAGAATTGGAGACAAGATGTGCCAGAGAGCTGGATTTATTAAATCTCAAAAACAAAACATGGCTGGAATACAATCTATTGATAAAATTTAATAAGGTTGGCGGCATTCCATACTCGCGGAACGTCGCCACCGGTTGGAGTCTGCAATCTAAATGTCCCATCGGCCAACACCTCCTTTATGATATATGGCCCCTCGAAGCTTTTAGCAAACTTTCCTCCATCGATCGGCCGGCTGACCTCCCATTTCCGAAGGACCCAGTCGCCCATCTTGAACTGCCTTGGCCGCACCCGCTGGTCGTGATATGACTTGACCTGCCGGCGGTAGTTTTCTGCCCGCATATATGCCTTTTCCCTTCGCTCATCAATGAGGTGCAGCTCTGCCCTCAGGTTCTCCTCATTTCCTTGAGCATCAAACGTCTCTACTCTATGACTTAACAACGAGGTCTCCGCTGGAGCCCTTGCTTCAAATCCATATGTGAGCGAGAAAGGGGTTTCACCTGTTGCCTTCCTTGGGGTAGTTCTGTAGGTCCACAATATATAGGGCACTTCTTCCACCCAGGTACTTTTGCATTCCATTATCTTCTTCTTGAGGCCATCCATGATGGTACGGTTGGTGTTCTCAACCTGCCCATTGGTTTGGGGGTACCCGACCGCCGCATAACTGTGTTTTATGCCCCAGCTCTGTAGAAACTCATTGAACCCCCCGGCCTCGAATTGGGTTCCGTTGTCAGTGATGATCTGCTGGGGCACCCCGAATCGGCACAAGATTTGCTTGGAAACAAACTTCGTCATCTGTTCCGCAGTGATGGTTGGCACGGGGGCGGCTTCGACCCACTTGGTGAAGTAGTCAATCGCGACCACCAGGTATGTGTTGTTCCCTGTCCCCCGAGGCAAAATACCGACCAGATCGATGCCCCACCGGGCAAAGGGAATCGCTGTGCTTATCGGGGTATAATTCGTCGCCGGTCGCCCTGGCATCCTCTGGAATTCCTGGCAAACCTTGCATTTGCGCACGTACTCTGCGCAATCTCTGATAATCGTTGGCCAAAAGTATCCTTGTAGGGTCACCTTCCTGGACATCGTGAAGGCTCCCTGATGCGCTGAACATATTCCCTCATGGATTTCCTCCATTAACTTCTGTGCCTCGCCCGCTCTTAAGCACCTCAACAATGTACCATTGTACGATCGTTTATACAGCCGACCGCACTCCAGCGTGTAGCTGGGTGCACGTCGCCTCACCACCTTTGCCGCGATTGGGTCGATGGGTAACGACCCGTCAAGGATGTACATGGTAATCTCATCAATCCAATCCGGCTCCTCTCTGAGTGTGATGATCAGCACTTGTCCGGGACTGATGCTTGGCTTGAGCAACTCTTCTTC